ATGGGGGTCTGACGTCAGTCCATTTTAGAAATTCGGTCTCTTGCTCAAAATAGTTTGGAGTGTCGAAAGATTAATTCAGCGGTTTTGATTAGGATAATGAAAACATCGTCATCATCATCAGCCTATCGCCGTCCACTGCTTAACGAAGGCCTCCCCAAGGAGCGCCAACATAATGACAATAAGTGTGGAACTGTGCTGTTTCGGCAGAGAAGGAAAACTTGACACAAACCCTATACCATCCCGTCTGGCCAACCAAAACCTCCTTTCTAAGGAGAAGTCTAGGCCAACAGAGGACTATTAGAGGCTGTTGATGTGATGTTTCGGCACACATGGACCTACTTGACCGCTCACAGAAAACTGGTGTTAAGCAGTTCCTCCTAATATTCCTTGTTATAAACGACAACTCCCACATTAGGAATATAACCTGTGTCGCGGGGGACTTTACAAACATACATGAAACGGACATATAGAACACCCAGACTCAGAACGAAAATTTGTGGATCTCTCAAGTGTCGTTCCATGTGGGGATCGGAAACACTCGTAGTAGTAAGCGGCGTGGCGACTCCTTAATCCACTACGCCATCCGTGCAGTCTAATTGTGGCGTGTAATTCTGGCGGGGACAGTGTACTTATGTAATGCACATGTAACGTCTTGAGTTGCAAGTGTCTATAGGCGTCGGTAGTCACTTACCATCGAGTATAACGTCTGCTTGTGTTCCCCCTACACCATAAAAAAATCATAAAACAATTCTGTAGTTAACTACAGAGCTACATTCGTATATATTCATAATATGATTAAAGATTTTACGTAACAGTAAATACTCAAGCCGTTGTATTCTGTTTATTACCTTGACTGGTGACATCAAATAAAATATCAGATAGCAAAAAAAACTAATCATAAAACATTTATTTACCTTTACAATAAAGATTGTTAACTTTTATGATCTCTTCGTACAAATTATTGAAAGGAATTAGGTTAAACCTGTTTCTTAAGCACAGTATGGACAGTTTTAAAAATGTGATGGATACTTACGATTATGATACGATTTACATACACACACACAACTAGCGCCTGCGGTTCACGGGGAAGTGTTTGGTCATCACATCATTACATCTACAGCCTTTAATAGTCCACTGCTAGACATAGGCATATCCTTAGAAATGAATTTTTGCGTATCTATCTGCGTAGTTAAGTCAACTCTAACGACACTCACGGGGTGAATAGGGGTGGTGACATTCCGTATTCTTAATCCGTCATCACACGGGTAGTTATAAGTGTTGGGTATAGCAAAAGAAACATGAAAGTCAAATTATTGACGTGCAAATGGCAGGGGTCCCCTTGGCGGTGGTAGTACTTACCATCAGGAGACCCATCCGCTCATTTGTCCACTCAATCTTACAAAATCCTTCAAAAAAAAGTCTAACCGTCTTGTAATGCGTGTGTATTTATAGCATAGAGTTGTTCCGTTCGCCTTGATAGTGAAACCCGACTAGATGATCACTAATGTGATCACCTAGCCGCTAGACGCAAATGCGTCCACACACGTTTGAGCTTTACATTAGTACGATGAAACTGCGTCATAAGGGTTAAAACAAGCCTTCATTGCGTACTTTTTAGAATTGAATTAAGTGATATGAATGTCTTTCTATGGATGCTAAAAACTTATCTGGCAAAATTGATATTTTTGAATACGCTTTTATTATGGTATGCTTGTGTCTATGTAAGGGAATCTTTGAACATGATTTTCACCCACTAAAACTTTAGATTTAGTTGAAATTTTATACACTTTTCAAGGACCGATGTTTATGTAAAAAGAAGTAAAGTTTCTGGATTAAAGTTGGTTAAGTACTTTTTTTATGGGGATGTAATACGATTAAACCACCATTTCGACCAGATATTTTAGGCCAAAACTAAATCGATTTTCTTAAGATGCTTTATTTGGAATTTCTGGAAAAATGTTTAAACTAAACCATCTGCTTATGCTGCTTATTACTGGCTACTATGAAACACTAGATGTCGAAAAATTCTCTAAAACTGCATAATAATATTGTTATGTAACACATGTAATCGAGGAACTATCTTACATGACGCATCTTAATATCAGATAAGATTATTATATTTCAATGTTGTAATCAAAATGTAAGCACGTCTTATTGTGTTAAGAAATAGAGGATATCATCAGTGCATACATAACAACTTAATTTATCGAAATGTGTTGTTTTAAGTTAATGAAAATTTCAACATACCACGACCCGGGTAGTAAAGTTGATGTTGAAAAAATTGCATGAGGCCTTTATACACTATGAGCCATGATTAGCGATGTACCGGATCGTTATAAATTTATATCCACGGATTCACATCACTAGTCATGATACCTATAATGGCCAATGAATGGCTGCTGTGTTTTTTTTTCGGATACATATCAATATATTTTTTTCGCAATTATAAGCGGTTAAAAAGTTTTTGCCGCGTGTATAGGTTTGACGATTACACAATACTTATTTTTTGTTTTAAAAGGAAACGTTTTAGTTGTTACACAACAGACATTACACCTATTTTATACAATTTTGTAATTAGTACAAGATGCATAACTTTTTAAGGAGTCACAGCATACAGTCAAATTAAGTAGACAGTAGCACATATGCGCATAGGCTAGATAGAATAAAAAAATTTAAGCAGACGAGACAGTATACCTTAACACGCAGGTATAAGTCAAATTCATGATTTTATTAAATATTATGGTTCTTAAATCTTAACGGTAGGGTAACCTAATTTAATGGCAGCTGACTACAAATATATAACATATACGATTGTGTAAGCATCCGCGATAATTCTGACGATCGTGCCCCATTTTGTGGTGGTTGCGAATGCGCTTAAGAGTAGGAAGTCCAAGGAAATACATATTCATCAATCATCATCAACAGCCTTTACTAGTCCACTGTTGGACATAGGCCTCTGCTTAGAAAGGAGGTTTTGGCCTACTATACCACACTGGCCCGACGGGTTGGTATAGGGTTTCGCCAAAGAAGAAAAAAGACAGGAGATGCTGGAGGGTCTTAATCGTGACCCCTGGGGTCGCCCTTACCGCGCGGTGCGACAAAAGCTCCGCGCGTCGGGCCCCCCCCTTACGGAGACTCTCCAGCCCAGCTTCCTGCGAGAAGTGGTTGAGGGCCTTTTCCCACAACGAGCGGAACACACTCCCCGTCGATGGCCTCCCTGGCCGGAGACGACGGGGAGCACGGGGAGGATAATGTTCCGCCCGTCCGGGATTCGGAGGTAGGGGCGGCTGTTCTACGGATCCGTTCCAAGAACACCGCCCCTGGGCCAGACGGGGTACCGGCCCGAGTGCTGGCCCTGGCCCTCAACCACATGGCAGACCGCCTCGGGGAGGTGTTCGACGCTAGCTTGGCGTCGGGACGCTTCCCTGAGTGCTGGAAGAGCGGGAAGCTGGTCCTATTGAGGAAGCCGGGACGGCCTGCCGATTCGGTCGCGGCCTATAGGCCCATCGTGCTGCTGGACGAGGCGGGCAAATTGTTTGAGAGGGTGCTTTCTGCCCGCATCGTCCGGCACCTCTGCGAGGTGGGCCCCGATCTGTCGGACGCCCAATTTGGTTTTCGGGGGGGGGCGTTCGACAGTCGACGCCGTGTTGCGCCTGAGGGCCGTGACCGAAGAGGCCGTGAGCTGTGGCGGCGTGCTGTTGGCGGTGTCATTAGACATCGCCAACGCATTCAATAGTCTGCCATTCAGCTGCATCAGGGAAGCACTCCACTATCATGGGGTACCAAAGTACCTGAGGCGGCTGGTGGCAGACTATTTAGAGGAGCGTACCGTCGTGTACGAGGACCGAGAAGGTAATTTGAGGAGTCGGCCCATGTCGTGCGGTGTTCCACAGGGGTCTGTTCTTGGACCCCTCTTGTTTAACATAGGGTACGACTGGGCCCTTCGCGCCGATTTCCCCCCCGGGCTGGGTGTAATCTGTTACGCAGATGATACCCTGGTGACAGCCCGGGGGGCAAACTTCCAAGAGGCGGCGCGCCTGGCCACAGGGGGAGTCTCCCTGGTGGTCGGGCGCATTGAGGCGCTGGGCTTACGGGTGGCCCTAGATAAGACGGAGGCCCTGTTATTTCATGGGCCCCGTCGTGGTCCACCCCCTGGCGCCTCAATCGTGGTCAACTCGGTCCTCGTACCGGTTCGGGCCCAGATGAAATATCTGGGCCTGATCCTCGACGGGAGGTGGCTCTTCGACGAGCACTTCCGACAGCTTGCTCTTAAGCTGGTCGGCGCTGCGTCTGCCCTAGGGCGACTCTTGCCCAATATGGGTGGACCCAGCGTCGCGACAAGACGGCTGTACACGGGGGTTGTCCGGTCAATGGCACTGTACGGTGCACCGGTGTGGGCGGCGGCTCTGACCGCCCAGAATAGGACGACCTCCACTCGGACCCGATCCGCCGCCGGCGAACCGGGCGGCGGAGGCCCGCCTATCACAGCCTCATGCCGCCCTGAGTGTGGCCGCGGGTGGACGGGGTGGGTTTCCCCTCCACCCGCATTAGTTGGCCAGCCGCGAGGGGGCGGCGTCCGCGTGTGCCGGACGTCGCCTAAAGAGAGGAAAAAAATATTGAGACGGAGCCCGCACCAGGAGCGGGCTGGCGCTAGGAGGGGTCCGGATGTCTTAACAACAGCTGTTCCCGAATCCCTCCTGTTACAGGCGCAGAGTGGCACACCGTGTGGTTTTAGTCGGTCCGAGTCCGACACACCACCCCGCCGCAAACCCCGGAGGGGTGACGGTCCGAGGGTTTGTGTCAAGTTTTCCTTCTTTTTGCAGTGCTGGTGTCCTGCGTTGTTTTTCGCCCTTAGTCGGCTTTTACGCCACCCACGGCATGAATTGGAGTAGTGACATTCCGTATTCTTAATCCGTCACTACACGGACACTATATTATAAAATTATATCTGTCTGAAGTAAAGAAATAAATTTATATAGAATATATATTTTTGTCTACAGGTAACATAAGCGCAGTGTTTACATATAAATGGAAGGGAGAAGAAATCGCGAGGCTCGTGGAGAACGGGACGAGGGTCATGGTCAGCATTATCGAAGGAAGAACATTCGCACACGTCAGCAACAACATTAATAAGTAAGTTTTATTTTGCTTTAAGTTAACGCTATTCCCGACGGCTTCTATCATTATTTGTGGCGGTTTTTTTTATACTGTTGTTGGGTGTAGTGTAGACAACATTGAAAATTACGAGATGAACTCTCCATGTATTCTCCTGCCACTTACCATTTTGTCACCAACCCGGGGCTTATAATCTAAACCAAATACATATTCATATAGGGGTTTATTTTTATCTGAAAGCTTTTTCAAATGTGCATTGAAATAGGAATGAACAAAATCCCCATGAATATAGATAATTACATTAGAACGTTGAGTCAGATCATCATCATTATAATATATAGATAGACAGATACACGATTGTTTTGCAAAAGTATTACATTTGAATTTAATCAGATAAACATGTATGTTATTTTTAGTAAAGTAATTTCTACCGAGTAAAATCGGTTCCGTTATAACTTAATATTTCTTTAGTTAGAATTTGAATTTGGAAATACTGCAATTTTAAAAGTCGAATTCACTTCTTGCCTTTATCTGTCATAAAGATTAGGCAAAGACATTTTAGGCCGTGGAAAGAATGGCAGTCTTGTTTGGCGCGGAGGAAGCAAGGACATTGGTGTGAAAAAGGGCGGTATGCGGAAAGACGCAATACATAGGTTTGTACAAACTATAGGGGATAGTGGGCAGAAGGGAGGGTCTTTTTGTCGATTGTATGTATGGTATTTAATATATGTACCTATATTTTTATACAATAAAGCCTGCTTGATAGAATCATGTTTACCACGGTTACACGCAATGCGTCAGTTTACATCGGGATTTAGCAGAATACGTTATCTAACACACAATACACTATCAGCTTTTCGCTTAATACGCTGTCATATGACGAAAGTCCAGGCTTTATCAGCAGTAGTTGATATAACATCGTCTATGGGTGATGGTCAATAAGTCTATAAATATATGTATGTAGTATAGATGCATTTAATATAGGCAGCTTCTGGTAACAGCTGCGCGGTCGATCGGTGTGCAACCGATGACTGACTCTTAATAATTATATAATTCTATGTAGCTCAATAAAAAAATATCATAAACCAGTTTTCTTTTTTAAACCTTTGTCTTTTTTGTGCTTCAGAATCATTTGGGTGGTTTTTCTTATATTTTATGTAACGGAAATGAGGCTATGGCAATTCGACACTAGACACATATCTCATGAATGCCAGTGCCAAAAAATAAAACAAAATTTAAATAGAGATAAAGATTAAAGTGAAGTATGAACCTCTTTTGAATGCCAAAAGGTATAGAAAAGACATATTTCTGAACGAATTTAAATTACGAATATATTATTTAAAAACCTTACCTTTCCATCGAGAAATGTTTCTTTTTCGCCACCAGTCATCGTGACAGCTGTGACGTAATAAAATTAAAATAAGCGCTATTATGTACAGACATATTGTATTAAAATAATGGCTTAAAGACAAAAGTATAGAATTTTCCCAACCAATTATGCTTCAGTACCAAATAATAGAATGTAGTGACGTATAAATGAAGACATTTAAAAATAGATTCTATATTCTAGTAGATTCTACAAATAACATTATAATTCAAACAGTTTATCGTTTTTTATAAAATTCAAACCTAGATACGTTTATTTTCGAAAAAACAAAAACTACGTTTTTTTTCCTGAATCAAACATGCAATGCGTTTATTCTGTTAGAAAACTTGATCGATTCTTATTTATTTTTGTTGCTGGTTACATTGAAATGTTTTAAACACAAAGACATTGCTCATAAACCAATGGCTATATTTACTTATGAGATAGTTGTTGGTATGTAGTGGAATTATACTTTTCTTTTAAATGATTACGTTTATAATATATTTATATACACTAGTACTACACGCTTAAATTTCAAAAAAATACTAGTAGAACTCACGGTACCGTGGGAAACGAACATCACGCTTTAAAAAGAAACAAGTTCTTTGACTTAAACAAAATAACTAAAAATGGTTTGGTCGTTGCGTTGTACGCCTTGAAAGTGTGTGCGACGAATATACCAGCTAAATCCCTCTATAACCTGCTTAAAGACCTTGGATTGCCAAGAGCTTCGGTAAGATCTTTTCTTGAACGAATATCTAAAGCGGCATTGTTAGGCTCGTATTAAATATGGTTAGGTAGAGGGAGTAACAAAGCAGACAGTGGAGGTGAGCATTCCCTAAACCTATACCTGGGTCGCAATTCCCAGGCGCGGTCGCAATTCCCAGGCGCGGTCGAAGTCGCATGTGTTGCCCCCATCTACCAAGCGATGGTTCCGGCATAATGGTTTTTTTTTACGAAGCTATTTTAAACAATATAGTATTGTTCCTTATCCAATTAACTACGTTACATATGTTGTGCATTTAATGTAGATCAAAATTGCCCCATCATTAAAATGAATATCTTAGAAGAAATCAGAGGCTCAAAATACGGGGCCGTTGGGGCCGTACGTCCGTGCTGGGTGGCAGTAGCATGCAGGCGCGGAGCGTCACTATAAATATTGTATAGAAAGATATCCTGTATTACAGTTTATTAATAAGACTACTGTTAATTACTACATACTGACATCACATAAGTGTCTATATTGCACCCGTGCGAAGCCTTGGCGGTTTAGGGAAAATAAAAACATCTGGATTTGAAGAATATGTTTCTCATCAGTATTAGACCTTTTAAATCGAATTGATGCACTTTATAGACACAATATCACATGCATTAACTACGAAAATTGTATTTTGCTACTAGAACAAGTTCTTTTAAGCATATCAGCGACTAAAGTATCTATTACAATAAGAATACGACACGACACCGGTGACACAAGGCCACTTACTTATGCGTTGAGCAGTGACTAAGTACCTATACTAATTGTCTATGTTTTGTCCAAAGCATAATTGAGCATTCTATTCACTAAAACCTTTTAACCAACAATTTGTGACGAAGTTTTGTATCTAATATAGATACAAAACTTCGTCACAAATGGTTCATTCGCGATAACGATGACACAATTCAAATTGTTCTACTTTCTAGTGTTCCTTTTTCTGAGTTAGCATTACGAAAATTTTATTTATTACTTTACTTTCTTGGTTTGGTTGAGCATATTTCTATCATATCCAACTGTGTACCGATCACATAAAATTAAAAAGTCAATCAGAGACACATCTCATCACACACATCAAGCCTTTGATAATCCACTGCTGAACACAGGCCTCTCCTTAGAAAGAAGATTTTGGCTTACTTTACCACGAGAGACGTTTATACGTAATGGATTATGTGCAATGTTCACTGTGATGTGTAATGATATCACTATCATCACTTTTCGTGGTTTAAGCAATTTGTAACTATGTTTTTTTATTTATTATGTACATATTACAAGTGTTTATTGTCTTGGGGCGTAAGTTGCCGGACCTGGCTTGTGGCCTGATTTTTTTTTTACCGCACCGCGTGTTGTTTTGTTTATCTATTTGAGACGCAATTATAACTAATTTTATATGCCTTCCTTTAAATTATGTTATGTAATATTAATGTTATTATGTTACAGAACGTCCGTGTTGTTCGTGTCTATCTCCTTCATCGTACTGATGGTGATCTCGCTGGCGTGGCTCGTCTTCTACTACATACAGCGCTTCAGATATATACACGCCAAAGACAGACTCTCTGTGAGTGCTTTACTTATTAATTTACCTGCGAACGGAAAATTAATCAAGAAAATAAATCAAATTCATCAACAGCCTTTAATAGTCCTCTGCTGGACATAAGCCTCTCCTTAGAAAGGAGGTTTTGACCTACTATACCACGCTGGCCAGACGGGTTGGTATAGGGTTTGTGTCAAGTTTCCTTCTCTCTGCAGTGCTGTTGTTCTGCGTAGTTTTTTCCCTTAGTCGGCTCTTACGACACCCACGGGATGAATAGGGGTGGTGACACTCTGTATAATTAATCTGTCACCATACGAACATCAAATTGTCGACTCTAAACTAATGTTTATTGTTGTTTAATTCATCAGAACATGACTTGCAATGTCGTCACTGTCGTTCATAGTGACCCTATCTATTCTAAGTATGACAACATTATGAATAAGCATACTTATGCGGCCTACTTCAGTTAACATAGCTGAATGTAGCACATATTAGTGCAGACATTTATATTATTACAGGAATTCTACTGAGTATAATTGTTAAAATAAATAGCAAGTCTTGCTTGGACTCAATGAAGTGTAACCACAATCATTAGAACAATTTCGATCGCGGGGCGTGGGTATTTGAACTAATGTGTAACACGACCGGCTTAGCCCACTGAATTAGCCCGACGTAACGTAGGTACCCATAGCTGCTTGCAGTGCTAAGTGGCCCTGGTATCATCATCACCATCAACAGCCTTTAATAGTCCACTGCTTGACATAGGCCTCTCCTTAGAAAGGAGGTGGCCCTGGTATAGTGTTGCTCTATGGCTATCGGTGAAGTGCTATTCTTCCCCCATTACGGCTCTTGTTGCAGTTTTCTATGTTTTAAAATTGTTTGTGCAATAAATAATATACTGTTTGATAAATATTTTTTTTAAACTCGTTCCTAATACAATCATTTGGTTTAGGTCGAAGGAGTAACAAGATATAAATATAATAATATATATATAGCCAAATAATACCACGTTCGAGGCTTTTATTAAAAAAATATTTAATCTGATATCAAATAGTTTTTCTATTCTAATGTGACACGAAATAGACTCAAATTCAGACTAGTAATGTAATTTGTATATTAATGACTAATTTTACTCTAGGAAATGTCAAATCTGTTTTTCTATTATTTTTCCTTATGAAAAATAGCTAAACAGGTAAGTAGTAAAAAATAATAGGTTGTTTTGTCATGATTATGATGATTTGTTGTGTGACTTCTTGTCCATTGCTGATATAGACACAACCCAACCAATTTTTGACGGGCCAGTTAGTCTAGTGGTATAGTGGTGGATCTAGAAGGTCGTGGGTTCGATTCCCACCCCGGAAAAATAATTATGTGACGAGCACGATGATTTCTTCTATGTCTGGGTGTAATTTATCTATGAAATGTATATAATTAAAAAAATATATAAGCGTGTTTATCAGCAGTCTGGTTACCATAGTACAGGCTTTGCCTAGTATGGAACCAGACGGCCGTGTGTAAAAAAAAAAACCATTTTAGCAGACTTTAAAACTTAGTATGTTGTTTCTAATTATGTGAGTTGGTTTCGGTGTCAGTGTTCGAAACAGCAAAAGAACTTATTTAGGCGTTATGCAAATTCGAATTATGATTTATCATTACCTAACCTGATCGATAAACGTGTTTCGGAGTTTTAATGGATGCATTGCGACTAATATCCTCAATTATCACCTCGTGAGATAATCAGTTATATGCCTAGCCGAGCAGGGTTTTCCACACCAGGCTTGGTTTACTGACTCTGCCGACGATATATAATATAACGTAATGTTCTATAAAATGTGAATATCAATTTGTAGTGATGATAACACGAATGACATAAATACTTATGAAATACTTTTTTTTTGTTACAGAAGCGTCTTTGTTGTGCCGCAAAGAAAGCGCTGTCCAAAATACCTGTAAAGAGTTTAAAGACTGAAGATAGAGTAAGTAATTGTAAAAATATGATTATTATAGTAAAATTGCTATAAGATATTGTTTCAGAAAGGTATTAGGAATTATTAAAAAGTCGAATACAAGATTACTAAAATTTTAAAACAGGTTAATTCTGCAATCTTTTTGTTTACCGTGAGCCAGTCATAGTTAATCCTAAAAGTGACAGTAGATTTCGTCCCAAATAGGTATTATAATATAGTTTTTGTCTTACAGGAAGTTCAGGGCGATGGCGAATGTTGTGCCATCTGCATAGAGCCTTACAAAGTGTCAGAAACGCTTAGATCTCTTCCTTGTAGGTAAGTAATTAAAGGCAATGAAGATAATATATTGACCAGCGACAGCCAAAATGTCTTAAGTTCACAGTTAAAAGGAAAAGTTTTTAATTTATATCACAAGAGTTTCACAACTTATATTAGACATTTAGTGTTTTATAACCTTATATAAATTAATATTAAATAAGCGTTGTTAAACGTGTTTACACAGAGGTACAACTACGCAATTAGCGTAGTTGTACCCCTTGAAGTTTACAATTTAGTCACAGTTATGTAACAGGGGACAACCATTATTGCACCAGGGACTTCCTTTCTAGGGTATACCTGGTTCCCCGGCTATTAGTACCCGAGACGGCGCGGTGCGGTTTTAGTCGGTTCGAGTCCGACATGCCACCGATAGGTGGTATCCGAGGGGATTTCCGCACGGAAAAAAAAGGGGGGACAACCATTACTGCTAATATTAATTTTTGTTAGTAACATTAGTGTATTTTTAAATTCGGCATAACTAGCAACGCATAAATATGATGGTTGTATTACAGACACGAGTTCCACAAGAACTGCATAGATCCATGGCTGTTGGAACATCGCACGTGTCCAATGTGTAAGATGGACATCCTCAAATACTACGGTTTTGTGGTCAGTATTTCTATTTTTTTTATACATTAGTATTTCGTACTACTTACGCTCTGTGACGATTTATGCACATAATCATTTAAAAAACTAATTAACAAAAAAAAGGACAGTACAATTAATTTCATTATATTATTAAAGTTCAAAGTAATGATCGTAAAGAACGATAGTTTAGAAGGATAGAATATCTACAAGAATATAAGAAGTAGAAACTCTAAGAGCCCTGAAGTGTAAATAAATGTAGCCTTCGCTGCAAACAAGTTTTGGTATTATTTAGTTTTTAAGTTGATACTATGTAGAATTAAATAATATTATTAACAGTTCTACCAGCGTAGATATAACTATTCATGACTTAATGGTAGAATCATAATTTATTATTGATTATTGTTTATTAACCCGAATGAAAATTTACATAGTTACCAAAAATGCTTTGGTCAGCGAACTACATTACATCTGCTATTAGATTAATTTGAAGTTAATAATTATTGATGTGTGTGTTCTATGTGCGTTGTCATGTTTCTAATAATGATTAAACAATGTAGTGAAATAGATATTTAGTTATAATTATTGGTTAACATGCCTTGTACGACTTGTTTCTTTATTCTGGGATTAAACCACAGGCTTGCATTGGTATTGTGGTTTAAACATGTGGGGTAGGAAATATATAATAATAAAAACAGTTAATATTTTTACGTTATAAACCGCTAAAATATTTACATTATTCCATTTATTAATAGGCTTGCTAATTATAGATATAATTGGCTTTTAACATTAAAGCATTTCAATTTGTTGAACTTACATGCATCCAAACTAAATATTAAGTTAAAAATTATATTAGTTATTTTATTCAATTTTTTTGTATATTTGTCGTATTTGGTGGCCATGAAGAAATAACTGTCTTTTTTATATATGCAAAATGTATGTCACAGTTCACTGGCAGTCAAGAGAGCATCCTGCAGCTGGAAGTCGAGGAGGCGAGAAGTCGCGCGCTCAGCCCCGCCAGGAATAGGCATCCTCTCACGCTGGTACTTGTCAATTATTTATTTATTTGTGTCTTATAACCTTAGATTATTTATTATCTAGGTATATAATAATAATAACAATAATATTGTACCTCATTGACACAACGCCATCTAGTCCCAAACTAAGCAGAGCTTGTACTATGGGTACTAGACAACTGATATAAATACATATATACTTTTTTTTTGTAAATACATACATATTATACATAGAAACACCCAGACCAAATCAAACATTAAATGTTCATGCACACAAATGTTTGATTTGAGCGGGAATCGAACCCGCGACCTTTGGAATAGCAGTCCGTTATACAAACCACTACGCCATCCGGTCGCGTATAACAGTAGCATTGTACAAATAAGGAGTATTTTAGCTTTTTTGTGACATCAACAGCCCTTAATAGTCCACTGCTGGACTTAGGCCTCTCCTTAGAAAGGAGGTTTTGGCCTACTATACCACGACCAGCCTGACTGGTTGGTATACGTTTTCCTTCTCCCTGCAGTGCTGTTGTCTTGCGTAGTTTGCTCCCTTAGTTGCCTCTTACGACACCCACGGCGTGAATAGGGGTGGTGACACTCTGTATTCTTAATCCGTCACCACACGGACAACTTGTACAAAAACCTAATATCTAAATCTTCTTCTCTATCTTCTTAGAGTTTAGAGAATGACTCGGTGCTAATAATCCTTAAAGTATCCTGCCTGCAGGTAATTGTGTAGCGTGTAGTGATTTATCAGGTAGTATAGTCATGTTATGATGTCACGTTGCAGTTAACGAGCGACAACTCGTACGACGAGGCGGGCAGCGAGCGCAGCAGCCGCGCGTCCTCGCCCGACGAGCTCGTGCCATCACTCGCACACCTCACCAGGTACTTGTATAGTTTTTATTTATTACCTAACACTATCACTGTTTTGTGGGTTCAAAACACAATATAGGACTCGATTCCGTATTTGTTAAGAAAGTAACAGATAATAAAAAACATAATGAAGATTCCTTGTAAGATACCTATTCTATGCAAAGAGCTTATTAATGTTAGAGGAAGCGAACAAGGCGCTATCGCATACAGTTGGTAGAGAGAGAAAGAAGTCTCTCTCTCTGCTCTAAGCACTGATTGCCTATTTTAAATGCCCTCTTCAGTATAAGCCATAGGTAGTCATCAGATAGTAGGCCAAAACCTCCTTTTTAATGATAGGTCTATGGCCAGTAGAGGACTGTTATAGGCTGCTGATGATGATGATGCTGAGTGCAGAAAACAAAGACATATGAAAGACAAAAACAGTCTTCTTTCTCAGTCTACCGGCCGTACGCTACAACTTACAGAGGAATATACTGTTCGGTTCTTCTATTTATATTATCTCTCTGATTCTATGTTCGATCCTACATTCTAGATGTCTATACTAATATTATAAAGCTGAACAGTTTGTTTGTTTGGTTACGCGCTTATCTCCAGAGCTACTGGTTCAAATTGAAAAATTATTTTAGTATTAGATAGCCCATTCATCGACGAATGCTATAGGCTGTATAGCATCACACTACCATCGAGCCGAGTTGCAAAGAAAATAGTTGCAAAAACGGGTAAAATATGTTGTTCTGTATGTTTTGTAAATTATTATAGATATTGCATTGTATAATCTTAGATGTAACTGTCCCTAGCCATGCCCTGGTAACTTGTAAATATAACAACACTCAGCAAATATTTGTAAAACATGTTTGTAAACTATGTATTAGTGTATGTTTTGTAAGTTGTCCTAAATAAATACATAAGATGTTCGGGTCAGCTAATCATTTATAGTTGACAAACTACACCGGATGCCTTGCTTTGTTTGTAACCAACAAAACCTTTTCATATTGTAGATCCTGCTCTTCATCGCCAACGGAGTCACCTCGCGCAGACTCGTCGCGGCAGGACGCCACCGCCGGCACTTCCTCGAGCGAGCCCTAAGCGCGACCCGCGCGTGCCAAATATTCTCTCGCTAGTGAACTGACGAGCTTAGACTCGCCGACATAGTGATGCCACTGAAGAACTTCGATGTATTCCGTGGCCGTGCACGAAATAGTCCAGGGTAATCGAATGTCTGAGATATTGAGACAGCGACCGAGTGCGGTGACGGTGAATCAGTGATGTGTTCATATCTATATAAATACTCAAAATATAAAAAAAAAACATTCATAAATAACCTCCAGTGATTGTGACGCTCGTTGCTTTGGTGGATGAAAAGTGATATTTTTTGTAATTAAGGACCTAGTGTAATGAACATTTCACAGCAACTCCGCCTAGTCAACGAAATAAGTGTTCTTCCTTATGCTTCACATACGACCCGATAGTTAAAAGCGACCACGAAATCAATCAATATTGTACTTAAATTTTTTGATTGGTTCATGATCTCATATGTTTATATCTTATTCTGGGACAATTATCAAAATGTAAATAAATATAATAAGGTGGGTGCCCCTGTTTCTGTAAACTCGATAGCTATCGGCCATTTTTGTATCGTCTTCCGAGTGGAAAAGAATGAAATTGTTTTCCAAACATGTCTGCGTCGCGTGTAGCGTGTGCTATAGTATATCGGCTTAACTCGTGAGGGTTTACGGGTTTCCGTCCATATGATAATAACTAACAGTAAATTGAACAGATTTATTGCTATTACCTGCTGATAACGGCGTGTTGATCAAAAATTATGCCCTTCACAGGTAGTTTAGTTAGTTATTTTCATAGTAACCATAGACAAAAGATTAAACGGTTTAGATACTTTAAATCAGGGTTGCTGAAACCCCTGCAGTATTTAAATATTTAATCAAAAGTATTATTTTAAGTAAAAAACAATTTCTCACGTACTTACGATCAAAATTGACCGAACACGAAATGTGTGAAGCAACCAAAGGTGTTTATAGCAGTGTTTGAATAATAAACCCGTTTGTATCCCTTTTGTACTAAATATCATCATATTGGTTATTACTAATTCCTGTTTTAGACATAAGATTTTTTACTTGCAACTGTATGAAGGATATTATAATAACCTTTGATATAATGGGGCCATATCGTGATGTTGTATGAATATAATATGCCGAAATAATGTCTGTTCCAAATAAATTTAAAACTAGTTAAAGTAGATTCTGTTTTATCATCATCACCAACAGCCTACTCCTGGACATAGTTCTTTTTATTTATTTGTGAATATATAAAAAAGCTGTCATGTTTTTTTTATATTAAAGAAAATTGTGTGATATTACTTTTATAGCATATATTTTTTCTGTATTTTTATTTATACGTTTTATTTTGTGTTCTTTATAAAGAATAGCATGATATATTAAATCTATTAAATCAACTTATTAGCTAACTTAGTTTGTGTAAATAGATTTTTGTTTTGACCTCTTTTTCTTGCTTGTTATTGATATTTCAGTCCGGCATCTCTGTCTTATACGTTGTACAGCGCTTTCGCAGTTACAGTGAGTGAGAATAATTCTAATGAAAATTCATAACATTCTTGATATAACTTGACTTACAATGCAAAAAATAATATTTTCGAACAAACCATGAGGTATTTAAATTTGTTTGGCACAGATTATATGGTTGTGTACTACTTGGTGCGAGGAACAGATTAGCACCGAATATCTATCAAAAGGTGCAATGTGAAACTGATAATATCCGTTAACACTATTTTCGTGACTCCGAGAACGTAGGTAATATAATCTAGTCTGAAGGTATGTCGCTTTTAAATTCAATTATTTATGGCTTATTTGCGCGCGCCATTTGCAATTACCGCAATAAATTCTTATAATGAGAGATATTGTGCTCATTGTTGTATTTAAAAGCGATTTCATTCGTTCAAACTGTCCTTACCTTTATAGAAGAAAAATATTTTAGTTTTTAAGTTTTAATTTTAAGTGAGCATTTAAGTTATTATGTACTAACATAGACAGAAGGTACTTAAATCCATTGGATTTTATATAAACAAGGAGACTGGTATGTACTTTATAGTAACAGTTAATTGTGTGAACATGTTTACATTCCCATTCTTTTCGAGTGTTCTACTGTACACCGCGTGTGAGCATCAAGTGTTCAAATAAAAACCAATACAGTATTGTCATTTGACTTTTATTGTAAACTACCTCTCGAATTTGCTTCATGACAAAACATGGATGCCTTACTTTGAGCTAAGTTATAAGTATATATTAAAAAAATACTACTACTTTCCTCGACCGATTTCGGCCACGGCGACCGACTTCAACTCCGTTCAAATTGTCGTTGGTGTGATCTTGTGTGGCTAACATAGCCGAGCTTATTGATAAATACGCGCACAGTGCGGGATGTGAGCACTCCTTTGCAGTAATTGTCAGGGACAGCACAAGGTGAGCCCGCTTTTATTTTATCGCGTCGATCATCCAGTTCAGAGTAGCGATTGTCCTTAAAGTCTTCGACTCTGGTTTTCAGAAAAGACCTCCATTCCGATCATTGAGCAGCTGATTGCTCTTTATACCTGAGTTGTCCGCCATGCTTACGCTTGCCCTCCTCTAGTGTCGAGAAAAAGATGCACTTTGCCATGCGTTTTTCTGACATTCTAGAAACGTGTCCATACCAGCGTAGTTGCTGACGAACCGACAAAACTTCAGGACAACAGGAGTAGCCTATATCCAGCAGTTGACCATTTAAGGCTGTGCTTGTGTGATGTTATGTGAATTCTATTCTGGTGGCACAACACAGCCCTTTTGTGTGCAGCATTTTTTGCAGAAAGGAACTGATGTAGAATAAAATTTTGAAGACTTGCAGCAGAAAAAAACCCAAGTCATTAAGAAGAGGGTAAAAATTTAAGTAATAAGTCAAAAATACAAAAAAAATATTTATTGACTTTTTCAAAGACTGAAGCCATAAAGAAGATCTATAGTACAAAACAAGATCGTGAAAAGAAACCTTTATAAATAAATGTATGATCAAAGTACACCCAAAATACTTATTATAATTTATTATTTACTTTAAGATTCATACACCTTCCAAAGTAACGCAATCATTCATTTGCGATTACATCATAAATCAACACACTTCAGATTAAAACGTGTAGAACATACTCAGAACTTGCATTGTGAGAGTATTAACTTCTCATAATATTTTATAACTGTTAACATAAACATTATTGATTTCTAGAACGAATAAAATTAACATAATTGTTAACGTTTTTCACATTTCTTATCAATGATTTCCCGTTAACACATTTACTAATGAATAATATACATCAATATTGTAGTTACTGTAGTATAGTATAAACAACATTGCTTCTAATTCTGGAAAAGTTCTGAAAAGTTGGCCTTTCTTTTGATATAATCATTAAATATTAACCAAAAATAATATTTACGGCGCTAATGTATTAATGACGGGCTTAAATAACAGCAGCTGTTAAGTTTCTATTTTTATCAAAAGAAAAGTCAATTTATCAGAACAGGAACACACAGAACAAAATATTGTTGCAACTCTGCTGCACAGGTGTGTGTTGATTTAAAAGTACATACATACATAGTTTAATAACAATAAAATATCACCGAATTTCCTTTATGAATAATGGTAACACCTAAGAGCAAATATTTTCTATAACATTTTCTACTTAATAATACTAATAATAGTTCTACGTCATTTTCATCTCATTGTGTTTAGTTTTGTTTAGGTGTCTGGTTTGAGTACACTATTTTATACAGTACAAGTCGCCGCGTTATATCTTGAGCACAATTTTTATCAAATATTTTTTACTAAACTGCTAATTTCTGGTTAAATGAAGTAATTTGAATTAATATGTTCAAGTTCGAGACATGTTCTTTATACATTAGAAATGTATATGTACTTTTTTCGACACAGTCGTTCCAATTTCAAATCATTTAATGAGTCAGTTACGTGAAATGGACGTAGGCTTATTTTGTACTTAGAAGAGTAACATGATTAAAAAAATCTGTTTTAACAAATGTGTAACGGCCGGATCAGACAGCTGGCGGAGGGGACGGTGATGCGGCATGAGCAGGTTGGAATGTACTAATTGATACAAAAGACGTCGAACAGCCGTGCTCTGCGCTAATATATTTTAATCTCTCACATCGCATCGCTGTCCCGCTCCGTCCGATAACTGCCCCAAATTTTAAAGGTCAGTTACAGAGATAATAAATAAAAAAATACCATGGCATGGTTCAATGTAAGACTAGATGTCAAAATTTGGATAAGTCGTATTTTACTGCAGTGATTAAGTGAGAAAAAAGGCTTTTATATTCTGTCCATTCGTTTATTTTCCTTTAGTCAATTGGTAGTGACGCCAATTTAGAAAAATCTACAGATTGTATATACATACATTTGATTATATAATAATAATCATAATTTTTTTGTTACATATGCAATATAGTGTCCAAATTATACAATATGTGTAATAATTTTTAATATTATTTTTTTGTTACGCAATAAAAAACGTACATTCCATTTTTATTAAAAAACTTTTTTCTGCATTTGTAATAAATAACATCAAAATGTTAAAATAGAAGTTAAACTTCTATTTTAACTTTAATGTAATAAGTTTTAGAGTAATGAATAAATGAAGCATCACACTAGACCGTCACTTATGCTCTCAGTAGCACTCATTGACTAATTCTTAAAATATATAGTATATTAAACGATGCGATATCATTTACAAAACAAGTGCAGTATTTTGCTAAAATTAACTTTCTTTTTTTTACTATTTATTTTATTCGACTAAAACTTTTTCTCTGATTAAATCGATTGATATTTTTAATCGAATTGACGTCTTGGATCATCACTAATTGACTACTTATCCAATTGCCAAAAAGTAAAATAATGAATGGATTAGAACATACTTCCTTAAACTGTTTATATATTTTTTATATATAAAGAGTTCTATTGTTATTGAATTTTGTGAAGATTTTATTTACTCTACTACTCCTTTTATCTCACATTTCTACCGTTTTATGCCAAAGACATGGCATTCAGGCCAGAATCAAAAGTTTACACATGTATTTAAATATAATTTAATGTTAACACATGTTGGCAATCTGCTACAGAAACAAAGAAAGAAATCAAAATAACGTGCAATATTTACATATAAACTAGGCATGATAGAAATAATATATTATTGGATTATTTTTAAAGTTTTTCTCAACTTTTAAAATAATTTTATTGTATGTTGTATTCATAAACACATGATACCTTTGCCTAGATTTATAAGCCAGTCAGTCTTATTTTAGACAAGTCTAACTAAATCCTAGCAAAGGTTTTCCTAGGTTTTCAATCCATATCGTACAAGAGGGATCGCATAGATAACTGTTAAGCTACTCCTGTTTATACTCGAGATGCCATTGGACGAATTGAAATCCTAACTTTCAAACTGTTGCGTTCAATAATATATAATTATGTTTATGTATTTATACCTATTAAATCGCACCTTTATTCATAAACTGAATTAACTTAGAATTTCAATATTGTGGGAAATCGCATTTAAAGTTTGACATTTGTACGTGCGAGTTCGTCAAATAGAGAACGACGATCTCCTTATCTCTGCCATTTTCATGGTATCGAGTCGCCTGTTGGATTGTTCGTGTTCTACTGATGAAGTTGATTTGGTATTTGTTAAAACCTCGAAAAACGTAAATTTTGAATTAATTCAGTTTATTATCAAAGGTGCGAAATATAAAATTTTGAAATGACTTACGCTTTGACCAGGTTACCTTGGACATGGTAGTGCAAACTTACCTTCGAATGTACCTAAATAACATTGCGAATTGACATCATCAGTGGATAACATAACAATATTATTCATGTGAATGGGAGTGCGTTTATTCCGCTATCACGTCTTAATTACTAAACCAATCACCATGAAATGAAGACAATAAAATCCAGACAGGGATATTTAACACAGGAAAACGTATCCCCGATAACCTTTAGGCAACAAAGCCGGACGTAAAAGCTAATTAAATATATAAGAAATGTTCCTATATCATTTTCGATAAACGATATATTTTATTAGCTCCATTCACATAGCAATGAAATGATTCATGATTTTTTTTTTTAATATCAAAAGGCTTGTAATGTTTAAATTACTGTTTTTTTGCATCCTCGGCTGCAAACAGTATTGCCAACTTATTTAAAGTAATATGTACAATCAATGTGTTGACATTTTATAATAACCTCGTTTGGTTATCTATGGTGTGAGGGGTGGGGATTGAGCCTTCGCTGGTTGTGTAACGAAGAATCTATCGAAGTTATACTCCAATCATTTATCCCACAGCCCAGCCTCTTTCATCTTTGTGTGGAAGTATTTTTCTAGCGTGTTTGCGCATCTGTGGGCAAGGAGGTTAGGGTTGAGTGATTCGCTGTGAATGTTGGTACTTTATTATAAGAATAGAAGAGAAATAAGTATTTGTATTTAAACGTATCGCGGGCACTTGAAACTTATTTGCTACTTTACTAGTGTAAAAACAATATTTGAAAAGGTAATTATTTGTACCTACAATCATAACACAACTACTTTAAAACGTTTGCTTTTAACTGTGTGCAATGTTAAAAGGACATTGATTTTGCGGGTGAAGGGAATACAATTCTTATAACATATAAGTTTAAGTTCATATTGGTATAAACGCTCTAAAGTATTTACCTGTAATAGTCAGTGTCCGGTGAATTATAGAGACGGCAATTTGTGAATATTCTGGTCATGTCGGCTATGAACAGACGTTTTGATACGTAATACCGAGCCTTTATACGTTCGCCCATTGTGCGCAGATCTGTAACAAACAGTTTAAAATAAATGTAAACTACAGACTGCCTCGGTGGTGCAGTCCTAGCGTATGCGACTGCTGTGCTGAGGTCTCGGGTTCGATTCCCAGGTCAAATTAAATGTTTTCTATGTATAATATGCATGAATTTACAAAAAAAAAGTGTATAGGTATTCTATCAGTCAATCTAGCTTTCATAGTACAAGCTCTGTTTAGTTTGAAATTAGATGGTGTTGTGTGTCAAATGTTGGAAAATATTTATTTATTTTTTAATGTCAACTTTTGGAAACCCAGCTTACATTTGCCCTATATTTTTATTTAGGTTAGATAAAACCTCAAAGTGACTTACCCATTGGATATTTGATATGATCGTAGTAATCAGGTACCTCACTTTTATCAACCGGTTTGAGGAAAGGCCAAGCGGCTGCGTGATTTTTAACCTAAAAGGAATGGAATCTATTAGATGTTAAATAAATTATATTAAGCTTTATAGTGTGTAGTTAGTATATAGTTGATGTTCGGTTTATTTATAATGTAGCTCAAATTGTATTATTTTTAACTTGAATTTGAACTGTATATTAATAAATGAAATATGTTTTTGGAAATTTTACAAAATGTTGTGTTTTTTTGTAAGATATTTGCGATAGGTGAGTATAGTGGGTTTTAGTTTCAACCTTTTTCTGTTATATTTGAGTCTAATAGGTAGTCAGTTACATAGATATAAATGCTATTATGAGCGTCTGTGACTCTTTTTGATTTAAAAAGATGACTTTTGCACTAGGAATATATCTTGTGTCACAGTGGAGTTTGCAAAAAAATATGAAACGGATACAAAGAATGCCTAGATTCGGAACAACAATGTGGATCACACAAAATGTTGCTCTACGTGGGGATCGAATCCGTAACACAATTAGTACACTGTGGAAACGGTGAGGTGACCGTTTAAAATACTACGTCATCCGTGCAGTCAAATTAATGATTAACCCTTTCAGGGTCGACGTCCACAATTGAGAATAGAAATATCACAAATAAATTGCAGTTTAAATATCTTAAATTTGTGATTTAAAACGATCGCACTCAATCGTCCAAACAATAATAAAGGTGTGAAAGGGTTAATGATGATGGGAACGCAAGGTGTAAAGCTAATAAGTGCAGTGTAGTGACTGACGGCGTGCAGCACGGTCCGCAGCGCGGCGGGGTCGGGCTCGTGGTCGGGGCCGGGGCCGGGGTCGCGCGCATAGCCCCCCCCCCCCCCCCCCGCCGCGACCCGCCTCGCGCAGACCCGGGATGCACTCGACGGGGATGCTGCGCACCTGCACATCACACACACGATTCAAATTCACCCCTATATCATGGATAAAAATGTTAAATTAGTTTATTTGTGCTAAAAAAACTTTGACTCGATATACCTACACCTACTTCAAAGATAATTTTTATCTATTTTTTGTTGAATTTGTTCCGCTCTCTCATCGATGCAACCGCATGTGCCATGACGCGTATTGCGGCGCAGTCCGACCACAGTCGATTTGGTAATTTATAGAGATATATAGTTTAATCTGTTGATCGGTACAGCAAAAACAATAAAATAACATAATTGATACTAAAAATTAAGAAATCGAGTATGACCGAGCCGTGCCGCAACACGTCCATAGTGAAGCGTGACAGAGTACAACTAGTATTTTATAGATATTATTAGAAAAATGCCCAAAATTCAATCCTACATACGATAACTTAATAGACGATGTCGATCAAAACTTATTAAATACTTCGAAAAAATTATTTGCCATGAAAACAAATAAATAAATAATAGTTCTGCCTGTACTAAAATAGCATGCTCTATGTATGTATACAAGAATTAACTCGATCACGTACCATTGCTGAAAGTTTCGTACCATTAACGTAAAAGAAACCGTATTACCTTCAATATACTGACTATAGTAAGTTTTTATGTATATAAAACATTTTTGGAAATGTGTCGACTTATAATGTCAATGCGAGAAACTTATATTTCATGTTTACAATAATTTAAAACAAACCTAATACTATTTAACCGTCGCTTTTCAACTTGCTGCTTTATAACATCACGTATACGCTAATTAAAGAATTTGCCCAACTGTAATTCGACTGCCCATAATTATAGACAATTCAAAAGACACAGACAGAGTTATTTGGCACGTACTATATACCTATTACGTGATCACGCTATTTCCCATTTACATACATAATTATGTTCTACCCATATTCCCATAAATTAGAAAAAGAAACTTACGCCTTCCTTAAACACTGTTAGTCCAGGATGTATTTTTCTGACATCTTTTTGTCGCATGTCGATTAATTTTTTCACTATCTGAAACATAATTATAGTCTTGATGTAGAATTTGCATAGTTCGAAATTGCAGCTTTAGGTTATAAAATCACACAGCATGCGTTGTAACTCGATTAAAAAAATCAATAGGTCACAGTTCTATATATACGGTAGATGATGGTCAAGTTAAACCAATATTTAAAATAGATTTATTATAGTTTGATATACATATTATATGACAATAATGACATATGGCGTCACACTTTAGTGGTGCCAAATAATGTAGATCACTTCCAAACAGTAAGTATATATAAACAAAACTGTACCGAACATTTTTGTATGTAGCGTAGGGCAAACCCTCATGTTTTACAGTTGTCAAAACATTAAAGTAAAATCCGACTGAAATTTTAAGCTTTTTTATTGCCTGATTACTGTTTGATGATAAACAAAAACCGAATAAGCATAAGAATAAAAATTCTCAAATTATTTAAAGATATAATTGAAGGGGGCAATGAAAAAAGAATTTAAGCATAGCATAGTTTCCTTGACAGAGTTAAGCGTACCTCTTTCTGTCTGCGTATGACGGATGTGAACTGAGTGTAGACGATGCGCGGGTTGAGCTCGCAGTGCATGAGGGTGGCGCCCTCGTAGTCCTTGATGTAGCCCTGGTACATCGCTCGGGGCAGCTTTATGTCCTTACTGAAGCCCTGCTTCTTAAAGTAACCTGGAGAAACAACCGTACTTATCTTAAATTATGTCATTTTTAATACTTTTGAAGTGTAATTTCTGCATCATACGTTCTGCTCGCCGATTTATTTCTTAAATTTCGTCAATCAATACCGATATCCATTGGACACAGTACTTTATTATGAGATAAAAGGTAGTCCATATCCTTTCAGTATCATAGTAGGGGAGCCCGTTATGCTAAATGGTGATTTACTCGAGCGTCATGGAGACCTATTGCATTTGATAGATTAGGTAATAGAATGAATAAAAGTCATATAATGTTTCCACTTTCAGCGGTGGGAAAAGCGTCTACAGATTTTCAAAAATGTAAGAAGAGGAAATCGGAAAAAAAATTCGGGCGCATCAGACATTTTGGGAATATGTTGTTTAGATGCCGAAAATGCTCCAATTAAAAGGTCTGACGATTTTAAAGTGACAGACAACATCAGGTTTTTTTTAGAACTTTGTGACCCTCCCACTGCCTTATGTCACTTTTTTTTAAGTACACACTCATGCGTATGTAATAATAAAACCCAACTTTCCTTAATCTTACACGCTCGAATATTTCTGACCATCGATTTTTTTAACTAGTCTGATGGGTTGCCCTAGATGCTCGGCCCTATATGTAGGGCTCATGTATGGTGTAAGGTATTTCTCCTATCTTAATCTGACACGCTTCAGTAAATCCCGAAATCCCCTCTAGGGCTCCCCTACTATCATGATCGGTCGGCTCCTACGACACACACTGAACAGGGGTGATGACACTCCCTATTGGATACACCACATGGATACATAGATCAGAACAACTTCATATGGCTGATATAGTAAGCATACTAACCAATAGCAAATTCATCAGCGAATGTGAGGAAGTGTAATATATTGTTTCTGATGTGGTAGTCCTTGAGATGGTTCATCAGATGAGTACCGTAGCCTTTCACTTGCTCGTTCGATGTCACCGCGCAGAACACTATCTCGCTGAAACCCTGTACGAAAAATGAACGTATGATTACACGTATTAATATGCTAAGACTAGCTTTATATTAACAAATCCATCAAAAAGTTTAAATCTGAAGTAATTATTTTCTAATTAAGTCATCTATATTAATATTATAAAGCTGAAAAATTTGTTTATTTGGTTGAACGCACTAACCTTAAGTAACACTTGTTAGAATTAAAAAATATTTTAGTGTTAAATAGACCACATGACCGACCATTACCACATTATTAGAGCCGAATATTAATGAAAAATATTGCAAAAAAAACGGATAAATTTGATTCCTTTTGAGAGTGACAGACGAACATAAGCGGGTTAGTTGTTATTTAATAACTAGCTTTTTTCGCTGCTACGCCCACGTATGTCTTTCCTCAAGAACCAAAGTAATTCCATACCAACCTTTCACCTAAATCGGTTCAGCAGCTCTTGATTCCCTTTACAAACTTCCACCTACCATATCACCCCCCTTAAAGTATGATTCTTGGGATAAAAACTACCATGTGTCCTTTCTCAGGACTCGGACTATCTCTTTACCAAATTTTATCTAAATCAGTTCAGCGGTTTAAGAGTAGAGAGGTAACACACAGACAGACACACTTTCGCATTTATAATATTAGTTTAGTTTGGATAATCACTTTGGTAAATTATAAATTTAATGAAAGAAATCCCCAAAGGATATATTTCATTTTTAATGTTAGACAGTTTAACGTCTCTTCCTTAAAATACAAACTCAATTTAAAGATTTCATATGAAAATACAAGATTTTAATATTATCGATGTATTAGTTTCATACCTGCGAGTGAAATGTTCTAAAACAAATCCCTCCGATGGGCCTGCCTTCCTTGATTAGCGCTAGTGTCTTGTGTTTTCTGTAACAAAAATGGTGTATCGAGAAAATTGATGACAATGAAACCCCTAGAATTTGGGCTCGTAGATCTGACATTGATAACTCCAAACATTGACACCAATGGTCTGATGATAAAGCTAGGAACAGTATCCTGGAATTCTTTAGTTTAACTAAACTATTATAGTTATTTATTTATATTAATTTCATCGAATACCCGTACTATTCTTTCTCGACCAATATACAGATCTAAAGTATACTAAACTTCCAGTAATTTGTTGTCTATGGGGTAGTATTTAGAGTGTTACTCACGAATCAAAAACCAGTTGAGATATGTATTCCTTTGTCATTTCTGGCAGCTGATGTGAGAACACGTTGTGTAGTCCTGATAAAAAAATAATATAAAAAATTACACAATGTTATTGAAATCCAAACAAAAGCTATATTCCTTGTCGTAAATACATATGGTTTATGCATAAACATTTACTAATATATATATACACATTACATTAAAATACAAAGTTTAAAGTTGTAATAAGAATGCATTGATTACCGATAAGCCACAGCATGGTCTGTTTGTTGACGGGTCCCGTGAGTGAGTTCCCGATGACGTGAAATTCTATCATCTTGCGTTGTTCCTCCAGTTTCGCGGCTTCATCACGGGGTGCTTGCGTTTGGAACAGTGCCTGTGCCACAACAATTTATTAAGTGAAACTTCTTTAGGATCCATGATTTGAAACTCGATGAAACGAAAATGCGTGTAATGCCCTTACTTATTTTGAACAATGGAAAATGTAATGGTAAATTTAGTTACAAATAACTAATTGTTTTGTATTAAAATATATATTAGACAATCATACAATTATTTCTAATTAGTATAAGAGAAAGAAAGTTTATTTTGTTGTTTTACCTGTATAGCTGTAAAAGTTGTTTTTTTTTGTGAGTACAATCACAAGTCTTAAAAGTTGTAATGTTTTTTAGCTTTAAAGTGTTTATAAATGCAATAATAAAATGTACTAGGTGTACTGTCATATGTTACAACCGGTTTGAATTACTTTTGCAATAACGCAGAAAACAGATTTCGGTAAAAGTTAACACTGTATTCTTTTTAATTAAGTATAGTTTTAATATCTGTCGAGTTTAAATTCCCTTTTTATCTCTCCTCAGAAACAGGACTACTTTTGAGTGAAAGGTATATTTTTCTGTTCCTTTGGTAACGCTTATGAACACTTAGATGATCATGTGTGCAGACAAGGCGTGCGCGTACGTACGTCGGGCCCGCACATGTAGTTGGGGTCGGCGATGGTGGCGACGATGTCGGCCACGGTCCGCTCGCTGACGTCGTCGGGCGGCTCGTCCGCCACGCGGCGGCGCTTGGCCGCGCTCAGCAGCGGCGCCTCCGCCACGCGCTTGCCGCCTTCCGACTTTATCGAACCTACACACACACACATTCATAACACACTGTTCATTGACCTCACTCTCGCTGTATATCGTTTTGTTTTGGTTTAAGACTCAAATTAAGAAAACCGTATACGTGTGGTATAGAGAAAGAAAACTTGAAACAAAACATATATCGACCCGTCTGGCCAGTAGTGGGCCAGAACCATTTCTAAAAAGAGAAATATGTCCAGCAGTGGACCGTTATAGGCTGTTGATGTATACGTGTGGTTAGGTAAACGATATTTTTCTATAAATGAATACTTTAGAGAAAACGATTAGTAAGTACCATGTTAAAATGCATTTAATAGTAGGGACGCGCTTTGAAAATTGAAGTAATAAGAAGTAAGTATAATGTACGAAATTTCACAGAAAGAAACTTTTATATTGTACTAGTTTTTACCCGCGACGGCGCCCGCGTGTACGTTGGTTATCGCGGTAAAAAGTTGCCTATGTTACTCGCTGATAATGTAGCTTTCTATTGGTGCAAAATTTTTATTAAATCGGTTTAGCGGTTAAAGCGTGAAAACGTAACAAACAAACTCACCTTTACATTCATAGTATGGATTAAAACTATTAATTTTAGAACGAATCACATGTTATTATTACAAAATTACTTTAATAAAACTTTTTTACGTGCTTGCATAGAGCACGAGCTAAGCATTTTAGTTAGCTACGCCATTAATTTTTACTTAATCTAATAACCAAAATTACACCTTACAACATTTTGTCATACTTATATATTTCATTGACATCTAAAAATAGAGAGTTAAAAATACAAGCAAGACCCAAATCCAAAATATATATCTAAAAGTAAATGACGTACAAAGACGTTCCCGAGCAAGATCAAATAAGCATAAACACATAACATCGTCTTTTAAAACATACTTAACCCCTCATAACACTGTATATAAATAATATTTATAAAAATAAATGTTACCTGAGGATAATGTGACTGTAGTAAAGCCATCCTTGCTGTCCCCAGTTGGAGTTATGCGTTCAAATTCCCCACGGCGTCCCCCCGTGGCTATTAACATAATGTGTTATATATATAATATTATCTATATACCAAGTACAACTCGTGTTATGGGGTTAAGAACACGTATAAACATGCCGAGATAAATCTACATATTATACATAACATTCATTAAAAAAAATTATTGTAATGAGCAGAAATTGAACCACCAAATTTGCTCTCTCTCTCTCTCATCGCATTATTTACTTAACGATGTTTAGAGTATATATTGTTGTTTTTTCTCCGCAATAGTTTAAAAGCGGCTAAATCATGATACACTTATTTTGTTCAATATATATAAGTTGACCTGTCATGGGACCGAAACTCTTTATAATGACAGGTCAATTTTTACTGGTCAAAGATATGGATAAAACAAAACATAATGATTTTCTGCTAACAGGTGATCTCGAGTATCTACTAATGGCCGCACATAATTAAGATATTAACTTATATACTTATTTATATATATCTTAGATATATCCTGTAGATAAAATTTTAAACTTACGATTTTTATTGTCTAATATTGCTTGTAAATGGTTGGGTGGTATCTGCTTATATTCAGGGTCCCATATTGGTGAGTTGGGGCTGAAAATTTCCTCTTCAAGTAACGCCAGAAATCGTGGAAAGTGTGTCAGCACTAGCACCTGAACGATGGAGAAATTGTAGTAAAGCATCAAGTGTGGTGACATTTCTATTGGCAACTGTCGTTAGTGCTGTACGTGACAGTAATAATTTCTAGTGATGATAACTGATTCTACAGAATGTATCTGTATACATTCTGTAGAATCAATCATCATCACTTTGAATCATACATTATAGATCAAATATACATTAGGTCAAGCACTCAAAATTACAAGATGATATAAGTTTTTGCAAAATGTCAATTACGCATATTGTCAAACACGTATATTGTCAATAACGCCAAATGTCAATCTCGCAAACTGGTCAATATATTAAAAAATTTTTTTTTTTCGTTTTTCAAAAATAAATAAAGAAATTTGATATTATTATATGAACAGTCTGTTAAATTGTTAGATGTTTTTTATTATTAGATTGTTAAGTATCAGGAAAGTTAATTACGATTGTGGTAATTATACCTTTTAGTTAAGTAAAAGAATTCAATATATCTTGTTTTGATTGATAATGGTGTCTCTGATTTTATTGCCTTCTTCTTTAACTGTTCGTGTTTGACTTTTGTGGGCTTTGACTTTATGCTTGTTTGACTTTTAGGGTATGATCCATCACTAAAAACAAAGGATGTTTATTTCTAGACATAGGCCTGCCTCAATTATTTCCAAGAAGACCGGGCAGAAGCTGTATCCACCTTCGACCAGCGGTCTTCTGTCCACCACAATGTGCTTTTAATAGGAATATTCAAGGAGAGACAACATCAGATCGGACTGACAATCCATTCTATGTATATATCTAAATGTATGTAAATCACCATTAACATGTCATCATGAAGCCATTATAAAATGAATAATATGGAGGACAGTTTTAATATTTTAAAAATAATTGGTTTTTATATTTTAATCAATTACGTGTTGTAGGAACTAATCCATATAATAAGGACATACATGGTTGTAAGTAAGATAATAATGGCTTGGCCATTATGCAATGTTAATTGACTCTAAATGTAATTTGCTAATTAAATTGCGAGATTTAATGAGTTACGCACTTTTTATGGGTGATTGCATGTAACTTTGTATTTTTTTATCGCTTAAAAAGGTTTTCCTGGATGAAATTTTATTTCATATTTACAATATTAGTTAGGATTGGCTACGCTTCCACCATCTAAAGCTTAAAAAAACTATTATCAGTACTGTTTTATAACTCACCCTCTTCTCTGGCGGCATGCGATCCCTCTCGGAGTGACACTTGTCCATAAGTTGTCGACACACGGACTTGAAGACGGCGCGGAGCAACGTGCGCCCGAACACGAGCGACGTGTCGTAGTGCGGCAGAGAGTCGCAGAACGCGGGCACGTGACAGAACACCAACCATCTGTGCACGACACACTGATTAAAACATGTCTTTAGCTTCTAAAAAGGTCCAAAAATAATGGCTGGGCTATTTTATTATTTTTTAGCTCGTGGACACTTCTAAAATTAAGTACATTGGTTGTGTGTTGATTACTTTTTTTTAATTGAGAAAGTAGGGGTAGAGTACCATATGGATGTAGATATTGAGTTACAGATATTTTTAAAATTTTTGGTCACAATTTGTCTGAAATCTGATCGATTGTAATACTAGGGATGTTAAAACTATTTACAATACTATGTTTAAAACCTAGCATTAGATTTTAAGAATTAAAAACCTATTTAATTTGATTAAACTGGTTGAAAAAGATTTCAATAGTAACTATGGGTGTGTAAAACATCAACCACAACCAGTGACATAATTTAATTCCTGGCAGATGAGAAAGTATTAGCGATAACTCTTTTATTTCTTTACTAATACTTTATTTTATTAATACTTTATTTATTCCATTTCTTTTCAATGAAGTAATTTCATCTTTGTTTTTATGCACAACTAAAAATTTGCAAAAATCCTTATTGAATAGAATATTATACATTTAATATGTTTATAACTGATTTTGACGAGATCGGCAATTATGCAAGTAATTCGTAAACAGTCTAGCAAGAAATAATATCGTTTTTAATGAGAAGCCTGAACATGCTACTGGGAAAGATGATTTCAATTACGAGATACTAACTCTTTTGGGCTAACTTTGTTGTGTTACAAAGTTAGTGCAATTTAGGTGTAAAACGTTAAGTGTATAACAGAGTTTCTATTACTGTAAGCATTTTTTAAATTGGAAACTAGCTATTTCCCGCGGCTTCCCTTGCATTATTTCTTTCTTCATGTTTTTGACTTTGAAAATGACCGAACTGCCATACAACCGTTCATCCCTTATTTTTACCACTTTAGGAGTGAAATTTCGAAAAAGCTTTTCTTAGTTAATAATATTCATATTTTTTCGGACATCTGACACACAACGCCATATAGTTTTAAACTAAGCTGAGTTTTTTCTATGAAAGCTAGATTGACTGATAGAATACTTATATACTTTTTTGTAAATACATACATATTATGCATATAAAACACGCAAACTCCGAAACAAATATTTGCAGATCGCACAAATATTGCAATTGGTCAGACCCGGGAATCGAACCCAAGAGCTCAGCACAGCAGTCGCATACGCTACCTCTGCGCCACCGAGGTGCTCCCAACATAAAAAGCATCAGCTGCGAAAGTTTAAAGTTTGTAGCCCCAGCCGTTGATGCCTCTACGTTAATGAATCACTCGTCAGGGCAAAAAATTATTATGTATATTATTATGAATAAGTCGTACAAATAAATGGTATCATACCTTGTGTAATTTATTTGGTATGCTGATATATCTTCAGGATTTGAGACTTGCTGAAAAACATAACACATTTTTAGGCAATTGTTTGAAGAAAAACATTTTTTTTTTTTTTAAATTGTATAGGAGGCAACGAGTAAACGCATCCCCTGTGTCACTTCATGGTAAGTGCCATTTACACTTGTAAGTCATGATAGTTGCACCCACCGAATTAGAAAGAGGAGACAGAATGATGTATTTAATAATAATAATAATGTGACCAACTAAGGGAGCAAACTATGCAGACAACAACACTGCAAAGAGAGGGAAAACTTGGCAAGTGGTATAGTAGGCCAAAACCTCTTTTCTAAGGAGAGGCCTATGTCCAGCTACTACTGAAGGCTACTAGGCTGCTATCTGAAGTTTACATTTACATTATTTGTTTAAAAATGATAGCCACACTAAACCTGTATCGAGTCTATCAATACAATGGCGATTATACATTTGGACAGGAGTAATAACATTTTGAATTTTTATAAATCTACTATAATATAAATCATTTAAGAGATATCACAATTTACTAAAATCTTTATTTATTTAATTGAATAAGTTTACTAATTTTTAGTTGGAGCTATGTGTGTGTGTGCGAAAGTAATATATATATATGTATAACTAAAGCTACTTACCAATTTCCTTACACTAGGCGTTTCAAAGTTCCAATGGTTGAAGCAGTGGAGGAACATTTTGGCCAAGTCATACATCGTTTGCCACTCTCTTTGTGGCAGGGTATTGAACTTGAATAACACAAAGTTGGTGATCGCCTTCGCTATTGAGGGCCGTTCAAATGGTGGCTGACCTAACGGACCCTCAATACGCGGGTGGGAGCGGGTCAAAATGCACTTGCGTAGAATCTGTTAAAGAAATGTTTGTGGTAAAATTGCCTGTTTGTGGTAAATCCTACCATGCTCCCAATATTATCTGAAGGCAGTGCAGTTGGTTTTTATTATAGCCGACTCTCTTTTTGAGATGTAATAGTTTTCTGATGGGATAAAGACAGTAGGTAACCCAATTTACTTATGTTGTCAAGAAAACGGATAGAACGAGGAAGCTAGGCATACCGCAAGCTTCTGGTTAGAAATTGGCGACTGTAGTAGTTTGAAGAGAGTTTCACATAGTCCTGTATATCCTGTTAAAGGTAAGGCCACTAGGATAAGGATAAAACTGGTCAATTTATTCTCAAAAATATGCTATGGGTTATTATACAGCAAAAAGAGGAGCCAGTTTAAGTAACTGTTATGAGCTATGGCGTCATCACAGTAAGTTAAATAGACAATTGTAGCACTGTATTTTTATAATGGAGGCCTGACTGATTAAAGATGGTTTCTATTGCCTAATGTTCAAGTTTGACCTGCATATTTACTTGACACTGACCTTAAATAAATAATAATAGACCCGTTTGGTATCGTGGTCATCCTCCCGATGCATGGACATGAAAATATTCTCCACATCTACCACTGCTCCAAGAAGCCGATTGACTTCAGCAACGGGCAGACCTTGCAGTTGGGTCACGTGTTTCTCTGGAAGTAAATGTTAAAAAGTTTAACAACATATTTTATTGAAGGTAATATTAGTGATTGACCTTACCAGGTCTTTCATACAAAAATTATTATTCAAATCATTATGACCTCGAACAAAATATTTATTACATTTTGTTCTTTGTTCTTAATGATTATGCTTATTTCAATAAGATAGAACAGTTCCGAAATAATATTCTACTACATTTATATAAGTGACCCCATTTAGTCCCAAACTAAGCAAAACTTGTACTATGGGTACTCAACAATTGATATTAATAAATTATATACTTTTTTTGATAAATATACATATTATACATAGAAACACTTAGATCAAATCAAACAAATGTTTGACCTGAACGGGAATTGCAACCACGACCCTTGGGAGTAGCAGTAGGTCACACAAATCACTATGTCTCTTTTGCTGCAAATATAAGTCAAGTCTTGCTGAATAAACTTACTACTGGTTACAATAATAATAAACATCAATAATAAGAGTATCTTGGTTCCTGCATCCAATATCTATTTAGAAACATATTTTTCGTTTAAATTTAGTTATACAACTATAAAATACAGGTATAGCAAACTATAAAAATATGAAATATTCTATAAGCTAAGTGCACCTTGTAAGTATTGATTCAGGAGAATATTGCTAAATATAAATAGGTTATTGTGAGTACAGTATAGTATACAATGTAGACATATAATTTAACATAACAATATATAATAACTTAAGGCTATAACCCAACCTGAGAAGTCTGTACCATACTGTTGGTAAACATACGAATTAGTATACATATATGCCTTACTATTTACTTATTATTAGCTTACTAATATTTTACCTGTCTGAGAATCAAACCTCAGGTTTGTTTGGATTAAAGTAGTCAGTGACAGTACTCTATGCTAATAAAAAATCGATAATCCAGAATGGCACTATAAAACGATTGTCCACTAAATAATGGCACTTCCATACACTAACACTATACATATCACTATTATTACATTGCCAAACATTTAAAAAATACCAGTTTATCAAGATACTTACCGAGTACATGATTACAGTTTCTACAGGGATCACTGAAGCTGGCAAGAGGTTGATTGTCAGCTCGTGGATTTGCTTTGGCAGCGTGTTGAGGCGATGGTGTCTTCCACCCATTGCAAGTACATTCTGGTGTCTAAAATTTAATAGAAACTTTAAACCAAAAAAATAGACTCAACATTACATAGGAGGAATAATATACAAGAGTAGGACATCTGCATGTTGTATGAGATACTTCTTTATACTAAATTGTCAAAAACATTAAATAATTTAACACAGTGGCTCCCAGGGGCAACAGTTTTTGTGGTACATCAGTTTGCTTGCTATTCAGTAAGAAGTAAGTTTTTTTTTAATGGAAGAGGGGGCCAACAAGCAGAACGGTCACCTGATGGAAAGCGACTACTGAAAAGAGACAAAAGTGTGTAACAAAGTGTGAAAGGATGCTAGGGAGATGCATGCTATTAGATTGGACACTTTAAGTGAGATATGAAGCGTTACATGTTATATACGAAGAAGATGTAAGGTTCATTTGTTTATTTTACGAACACTAATAACATGAGTCACATAGTACCTACGATAAGCTAAGCTTTCGTTTCGAAAGCTAAGGTTTCGAATTTGTAACCACATGAGAATAACTCCCATACATTAGCCATCATGCTAGTACCGCTAAGTAAAGTCTGAATAATGTTACAATCATGAGCACAAAATATATATAAAATATACTAAATTTTGATGTCGATAGATCTATTTCTCACACAGAAGCAGAAAATATAAATAATTACATTTGAATTGATTACTTCACAGTTCTTACACAATCAAAGATTTTCTTTAAATATATCAATATTATGTAAAAAGATTTTTTCACAGCAGCAGTTATCGAGACAGAAAAATGTATGTTGCCAATATACCAACTCAATATAATGTCAGGTTAGTTATTGATAGTATGCATAAAATATAGTTGTTAATTAAAACTCCGTTTACACAGGTTTATAATCATCAACTTCCAACACTATATTAGTTGTTGGCGCTTCATCTGTATCTTATTAGTGAGAAATAATGTTTACAGAGGCAAGAAAGTAATGTAACTATTTATTGGTAATATATCAGCTGGCTGGTTAAGTAAAGTTATTAACGAAAATTGACCAAAGGCAATGATGATAATATAATAGACAAAAGATACCTGGCAAGCCGAGTATATAGCTAGCTTCAGTAATTTCTTGTTATGAGGCCAATTGTAAACTTGTTGCTTTCGCTGCTGGATTCGTTGAAGGTTCGATTGCCTGGAGGCTTGACCTTCGCCCCCAGCTGGGGTAGTTGCATTGCTCGACGAGGCATCATCAGCACTAGCGCTGGATGCAGCTACAAATAATAAAGAGTGTAATAGAAAATATTTTTACGCCTGATTTAGACACTTCATTTAGTAATAAAAACGTATCTATGTCATTAAAAAATTACAGAAAACAATTAATTGTTTGTTGTTGTTGTTTATTTACCTTCGTGTCCGTGTGTTTGTGAGGAATCCGCTTCTGAACATGTCATAGCTATGTCTCCAATTTCTTCCCCCATTTGCGAAGTCATGATATTTTTTAAGTAGCTTGCTTCAAGTCCACGTCAATGTTTACCAGTTGAAACATTTAATATAACGAAATTGTAAACAGCTTCCTGTAACAATTCAGCTAATTCAAATACAATCTAATAATTATTAAATTCCGACATTTGGCATTTATTGTTTTTACTGTTTTTAGTCTGTGAAAAGTGTTGCCATCGCTTATGAATCTGAATCGCTTTACTCAATGTCAAAAGTTCTTAAAAAAAAAGTAATAAGATTTTAAATTAAATTAAGAAATAAGTATGATAAGTAAAGAAGTAAATCACTAAATCTTCAATCTCATAGTGATCTGTTATTTTTAGAGAACATTACACAAAAGTTTCATGGGTTTTGTTACAAATAAAACACTCCACTAAAATTTAATAAACTTGGAACGTAGTCAGTTTGACATCTTTTTTATCTAGGTATGAGACTTTTGCAAATCCTTATTTATTAGCGTCAAGTCGGTAAATTGGCAACACTGGCTGTTACTGATGCATCTAGGCAGTCAGTGTCAGTTATCAAATGGGCGGTATTTAAAAAAATGAAAAGAATTTAATTAAAATAGCCTCTGAACTTTTCAGAACCACATTAGAAGCTTGTTGGGCCTTCGGTAGCTTTTCTCAATCGGTAAAACGATAAAAAAATTGCTTTACATCAGTTTTTTTATGAGACCGTTAAATCGTTCGGTTGAGCCGAGCCATATGAGCAAAATTGTGTCTACTTACTTACGTATCTAAACATACTTAATGAAAACTTAAACAGAACAAAATGTAAAATATTTAATCTTAAACTTCATCTTTTTTTTTGAGGATAAAGGGGTTTGGTATTTTTTTGTTTCTTAATTGTAGTGATTATGCAAACACGATGCAGACCCCTGATTCTAAGAAGATTGATTTTAGTTTCCTAACTGTATTTTTGTTCCATCTAGAGGTTGCCTGTAAAAGATCGCAGATGCGTAAAGCCGCCCATTGTGCCACTGTCTTTTTTTATATTCTTATACTGAGCACGCGTTTTGCAATGAACATAACATAATAAATATATATTTTTTTTTTTAAAGTACATACCCAATTACATCATAATAAATATTGTACTATTGTATTTATTCCTTTCTAAGGAGAGGCCTATGTCCAGCAGTGGACTGTTAAAGGCTGTTGATGATGATGATGATGATGATGAAATATTGTACTAAAAATACTGTAAAATAAAATAACAAATCCAATAAAACGCTTAAACGTGTCCAATAGGTATTAACTTAAAAAATAATAAAATGACTGTAGTTTTGCGACGTAACGTAATGGCGACCTCCTCCCGGCGCCATTTGCATGATTTGAATTTTGGAACAAAATTACGCCTTATTTAATTATTTTAGTGAAAAAAAAACATTTTTAACTGAAATTTAAAATAGTTAATGTATATTTTAGTTAAGTACTTTTAAATCTAATTTTCTTAATTTAAAATGGTCTTTTCGATTGAAGATTTTTATCACATCATCACATCAACAGCCTTTAACAGTTCACTGCTGGACATAAGCCTCTCCTTAGAAAGGAAGTTTTGGCCTACTATACCACGCTGGCCAGACGGATTGGTATAGGGTTTGTGTCAAGTTTTCCTTCTCTATACAGTGCTGGTGTTCTACGCAGTTTTTTCCCTTAGTCGGCTCTTACGACACCCACGGGATGAATAGGGGTGGTGACACTCTGTATTCTTAATCCGTCACCACACGGTCAGAAGATCAGAAGATTTTTATATCATATTCAGATTATTTCAAATTGAAATAGACTATATATTCTACCACATATGGTGGGAATCGCTCGTTTTTTTTGTATTTTTATTAAATCTAGAACAATATAATGAAAGCCTTTGTACGTGAGTCTTATTCGCATTTTGTTTGTTTTGACTATAGTACTTAGTTTGATTTGTAACGATTTTTAATTTTTGGATTGCAAATCTCTGCTATCACTGCTCATGGACTTGTTTTATTTATTTAGTCGTATTGTTTGGTACTTTACTGCTGACTCAGACTAATGGTACCTAATAAAGTAAACGAGAGCTTTATTTATCAGTGCATTTTAATACGGTACAACCAGAAGTATTTTTTTCTTGGTCAAGATGCCAAACATAATCGCGCCAGAAACATTTTCATGTAAAATGTTGCTAATCCGAGACCATATGGCTCGCACTGTTAATAAAGTTATCAGATCTCACGTAGAGCTAAGTTTATAACTTTACACTCTCTAACTCTACAAGCCCTAACTTCACAAACTCTATACCTTAGTCAAAATATGTGGCCTTGCCGTTTCGTTACTACAAGAACTATTCTATAACAGAAAAGTAATGAAAAATATATCTTTCACTTTGTGCCCGTGTGACAGTAACGAAATAAAATGTTCACCTTGCGCCATGTGACGGTAGAGAAAGAAAAGAAAGGATATTATTTATTTCATAAAACACGGAACACATTTGGTACTACGGTAGCGACACACATTTTGGATAAACTTGTAAACCCTTGTGCTTCGCTTGTCTCGTCTTGGCCCGGGCGCTATCGTGACCCAAGATGTCGAGTATTTCAAGAAAAATCAATCCATACGAGTGACTTACAAGAACGGTAATTGACAGGGTCTGATAATTACTTTTAAATTACAACATGAGCTTTGGTGAGATTGGTTTAGTCAGTTTATGTCGTCATTATGACCATTTTAAGTACTACACTTTACATTGTTTTTGTGAAATATACCTACATAAAATTATAATATTCCGGCAACAAATCATTTTTTAAATATGAACGCAAAATTATCTTTTATTTTACTAGTTAGAAATGGCCAACAGAATAATTTAATACCTACTCAAAAGAATTGTTACCTTGTACATTTTTTTAAATGTCTTTTTATACCTAATGGTTTAGCTTTATGAGATGAACAAAACAAGAAAAACATCCTTAAAACAAATAAGTAAGTAAAACAAATATCAAAGTACTTCAGTAGCTAAATAAGGTGGGTGGACCATGGAAGGCCACGCTCCTTTGAAGGCCAACTATTAAAAAGTCGTAGTTATTGACATGTAAAGACATATTCCTTTTACTACACACTACAATCCATCAAACTGAAGGCCACAGACGCGGCTGCGAGTCGCTCGCGCCGCTATTGTGGCAGTGCGATCTCACACTTCATAGACTTCGGTCGTCGACGTTACAATTGTTATTCGCGCGCACAGCAAAACGTAAGTTTTTAGTTAAATAACCTATTGTTTCCTTATATTTTTTACTGTGAATTGTCGTGTAAGGATATTTTTATGGAACTCAAGAAAAAAAAAAAAGAAATTGCCTCGATTTAAGTGAAAATATTGGGAGTGTTCCTAGGAAAGCCGGTGGTTCCTTATAAGGCCAATCAAAAATTTGAGGGTTGGCCTTGCTAGGGAACATGGGCCTTACATCTATAAACCATGAACATATGAACACTTATTATGTGGTTATAAATACGTACCGTTAAAGTTAAAACAATGTTTTATATTTATATTTTTTTTGTAAGGGTTTTCTAACTTTTAAACTCAGATTGAATAGACATTTTTTTCAAAATTATTTTATTTTCAGTATATATTTAAATTTATTTTATGTCTATGAAGAGGTTATGTCTGGAAATAAACTAAACTAATTTATATGAAAAGCAACGAATATAAAAATATTTGCTTGTTAAAAGCGGTAAAGTAAGTATGAGATAAGTTAAAAATTGTATATCTAAGATAGTCTGTCTAAAACTATAATTAAAGCAAAAAAAAATATATCAATAAGTCGGTAATTGAACAGATGATTAAAATGTATACGTATTATTTCAGATTTCAAGAATGTCTCAGTCAAAACCTAGAAAAAGAGGTAGTACATGGAACGAAGATAGTTTAAGATTTTAAACATTCCTGACTACAAGACTGACTATGTGCCATGATAAGTTTGTAATAATTACAGTACGTCTGTAGTGTCTATTATTTGATTATAATTAATATAAAAAAGTCACAGATCGTTAGTTTGGCCTTCTTAGGAACATTTTGGCCTTACAAAGAACGGAGCCTTAAGAAGGCCATATAAGGTAAAAAAAAAAGTTTTTAATTTGATTATAAAACGCGTTGGCAAGTTATTTTATATCAATATAATATTTATTACTACTAGTTTTAAATAATTTCCATTAATATATTCTTAGTTATACGATGGTGTTCAAGTAATGTTCATTGTGTTTTTTATAGATGATAAAAATATATTGTGCATTTAATGTTTCGCTTAAATGAAAGAGCTTATTATGTAGTTTTAGTAAAAGCGGATATATTAATTGTTACAACTCTATTTTTAAGTTGAACGACTGAATTATAATATTGGCCTTGTTTGGAGCCCTGTTCCTTGCAAGGCCATTTGGAAGAGCTTAATAAAACTTAAGTTTAATAAATAGTTATTAAAGCTAGGTAAAAAAAAAGTGATTTCTATGGTACACAATAAACCAAAGTATGCCTTAACAATTTGTTTCCTTCATTTATCCAATAAATATACGAATAAAAAGTGTTTATTCTTTAGAGTGGCCTTCCATGGTCCACCCACCTTATTGCGTTATACGATAGATACTCGTACTTGGTAACTTAATATGAAAACAAACTTTTAAATCCCATTGTCCGTAATAGTAAAATGTTATAAAATATTTACCAATTACGTATACCTAAAGGAGGTGAATTTTACTGAGAAAAAACGATCCTGAACCTTGTTTGTTTCAGCAAGCAAAACTCAGTGTACGCGTGAATCCGTCGGGAGTGGTCTTGTTTCTGGGCTTCTATATCACGATAAGTTTTCGTAACCAAACGAATCATTTGGAAATAAACTTTCGTTTCAAATGTTTTAAACATTTTTTTAATGTGATACGTACACAGGACGAAAAACTTATTTGCAACGTAGATGTAAAAAATAAATAAAGACCTCTGTGTTTCTTTTAATTTCCAATTTTAAATTGCTAATGTG